GCGAATATACGGATGGTTTTTCGAGTATATTCTTGCAGAGGAAATCAAGTAGATCATTTCTAGAAAAAACCCGAACTCGAAAGTCAAACACTTTCGGGAGAAAAAAAGCCGCGAAAAAATCCGCAATAATTATGCATCAACCTAATACTACCATCATTCTTGCCAAAATTCACGTAGCAAGGGCATTCCTCTTCGTCCGGAAACTCCTGTGCTTTGTGTTGACATCACCATTGTAATTGTTATAGTTGTAGCTTGGATGTATATGTAGAGCTGAACTGAAAAGAGTACATGTCCGAGAAGAATTCAAATAAGTTTTGAACATGAAGAAGCTTTCTATTTATACTTGGTGCAGTAAGGCTTCCGAAGGCACAGAGAGTCCTGTGCTTTTACCTCATCAGGGTAATCATTTCTGGAAAGCTTTATGACTTCTGTTAGCTGCACTATGGATAAGAAACTTTGAAATTAAAAAGATAAAGGGCATTCGCGTGCGCACTATATTCCTCTTTTGATTTTAGTATATACTATTCTTATATTCTGATAAGAGACATTTCAGGCTACTCGACTTACGATTTCGTACGAGAAAACGCAATCGCAGACCAGTATGCGTGTGGCAATTCTTATCTGGTTGACTCTTCAAAACAGCATTCACACGTTATTAATACGGTAAATAATTATGGTTTGGATCACCAGTCACCTATTATGGATTTTTGGCATATTTTTTTGTCGTCATTGAAGATTTGTCCAGATCCTTTTAAAAGCATCAGAAATTCCGGTCATTTTGGGTATTGTGATCACTTTTAGAATCGTAGACCCTCGATTATGTCGCTGGTTTGAACACGGGCTTGCTTTCTCCTTTTGGGTTGAATTTGTAGTCATCACGTTTACGAGCAAGTTCGGCACCAAAGCTGGCTCTTCTGAAGCAAGTGGATGATTGCCCACAGAGGAATCACAACCCTTCGATTACGAAAAGTTGATCGGCGTCTCTGGTCAGAGCGTCTTATCTACTCACCCCAGTTTTGATTTGAGGAAATCATTGGCTTCTTGGATGCTACGTACAATGGAAGGATCCCATGTCGTGGCCGTTCCAAGGGTAATTCGTAGGAGGAGGGTGTAATGGATTTTAGCTTCTGTGGGTCCTTTTCTTCAAGGACTACAAAACTCAGACTGGTCTCAACAAGGTTTCCGGCATGATCAATTCCGTTTGCGATCGTCCAGCTTTCGACTTTTATCCGGATTAATAGTGACGTTTCAATTGGCATGTACCCTACAATTACTTGCGTTGTACAGTCGGAGTTTATGTAATACTTTCGGGCTCTCAGACCAGGGGATAGCAATTTACCGACCCGGAGGATGACATACATGTTTAGCCTGAGCTTGTGTCGGGCTGGGGTTCGATTCCCGAGCTACAAAGCCGCAACGATTTGTTCCGATTGATTTGTTATTAACACAGGATTCAAGGAATCTTTCTGATCCAAGAAGGGTTTATCAGAAAGCAGTACAGATTTGAATGGCCATTTTGTGTTTCTCGATGATCGCTTATGGATAGGATAAAAGGCGTTTGTCCTCAATGTATTCCGTTTGGGGTGAGCCCCGTCTTCGATTTCCATAAGAATCGCCGTGGTGGTTCTACTGCTAATAATGGCTTACGGTGACCAGCCGATGTGCATGTCACTGCTATTGTCTTCCTAGACGAGGCTGGTACCAGTTCACCAACCCCAAAAGGATGGAAGGCTCGGTTAACTTGAGCGGAAATTGGCCCGGGATTCGATCCCCGGACAATGCGTATGTGGTAGTGCGCCATTTGCCACTAAACCATCTCCGCTCTTGCTATGTACATGGGCTAGATCAAGCTCAAGGCAATAAATTATATTGGAGTTGTAATAAAAACTTTCATGGGTCTGCACCAGGTTCAAGGTGCGGGAGTGTTAATGCATGGTTAGGTACATAAATGACGTTTGGTACAATTCAGTGGACTCTTCGACAACGCGCTGTTGGTGTTAAAAAGTATTACCACAAGAAATTACAAGGGGAGAAGACGAGTGTTCCGTAGAAGAGAGAAGAGTGGTTGTCAAGACTCTGTACCGTCAGCTTATGCTGTGAAAGAGTGCCTCCAGAAGCCGCCAAGATCCTCAAAAGAAGCTTTCAAAAGAGAGGAGAGGAGTTCGTCCTAAGTCAACTTTGCTGCTGTAGAGAGGCTGGCCGTAAGCTCAGGCATTCTTCGCTTTACCACGCTTTGCTTCACAACATGTCGCATGGGGATTCGAGACGAATTCTACACCTACATAGTAGTTCCGAGGAAAGGCTCCGGAGTGCAATACATAACGTTGACGTGTGATGTCAGATGGCCTCAGAAAAAGTGGATGGCATTAGCAGGACGTAATTTCCAGATTTTGTTCTAATTTGCCTGATTTTTTGAAGCTGAAGCACTTACAGTAGCGCTCGAAAGAATTCGGCGAAATGCTTCTTCAGTTATAATTTTCAGTCATGACTCCTTTCCTACTGGATCTAATCGGGCGAAATTTCAATATATATAGCATAGGTGTAGTGTGAATATTTACCACTATTAACCTCCAATCTTATCATGTTCCAGGTATCCCAAAGAGCTTGAACAAAAAGTCAGTTGGAAATAGGGACATTGGTCCTTCTAGGAGTCCTTTCCTTTTCGCCATGTCTTAAGTGTACGAGCGCTAGTGCCGATCCCAGAAGAGAAGAAAAGCGTACATAAGGTCGGAATAACTGCAGACGTCACAAACTTGCTTTCAACACGGCCTGCAAACGCCTCTCCATTTGTATGTGGATATGGTTGCTTTGCATTCAAATAGTGTTGGATAGTGTGAAATATGCTTCAGCTAAACATATCAAAATTTCATGTGATTTGCTCCACTGGGAAAAAAGTTACGGCAAGTTGAAGTTGGCCGAATACTTTTGGCGCTACTGTATATCGAAGTCATTTCGAGTAGTTCATAAGCGCGTACCTACAAAATGTTGAATATACATATCTGTGCAGGCAAAATGAGCACTGTTGATAATTGCCCACCTCCTTGTCCCGCCTTTTACATCTTACCTGGCGAATCCCTTTGATATATATTCGAATGTCTTTTCAATAGACTGAATGTAACAGATTTTTTGCTTCTTGAAAGCCTGATACAGAGAAATTTTAGAGGAAATTAGTTATATCTTCATTGACCGAGATTTAAATGTCATATTCTAGGATTAGCTCACATTCGAAAAGTACTTCGTAGTGCCTACATTTATTGAATTTTATAAATAATGCCTACATTTAAAAATAGCAGAAATCGAATTTTCCGGGAGATATGTCCGACATTTTTCTGAAGTCAACAATGCTTATAAATTTCAGCTATTCTCGAGCTCGGGAAGTCGAGCATATGTTCTTATCAACAGTGGCCGTATTTTTTACAGAAGTAATGAAATGTGTTGTCTGCCTCGGTATTATCCTCAAACAGGAGTCACCTTCGAAGTATGTTCGATTTTTTGACTCAAGTTTTTTGTTTACTCAATCTCTAAGTTCTATTTTTGCAAAGTTAGTTGTGACACCACAATCACTAGTGGATGAGAATCACATTAGTCAAACAAAAGCTCCTTCTTTTTGAAGGTTTTTTGGAGTTCTAATGGATCAGGTGGTACGACAGCCGTACGATACCTTGAAGGTCTGTATTCCAGCGATGGTTTACATTGTGCAAAACAATTTATTCTACATTGCTGCATCACATCTTGATGCTGCTACTTTCATGGTAAATTTGTTTACTTTATTTTATTTGTGTTGTTTATACGAAACTGTTGAGTTGTTTATATGAAATTCCTTTAGACTGGTGCCTCTTCAAGAGCTGATATAATGAACGAACATATGTAATTCAGAAAGTTAGATTAACCCTTTCGGAGTCATATATAAACAAACAACATTAAACATTACCTAACCACTCCTGAACCCTACGCAAATGAAGGGACAACCATGTGATAGGCGTAGGAAAAGTGATAGAGGCCTTGAGTGGATTTATGATTGAAGAAGTTTGCCGCACTTAATTGATGTACTTGGTATTCAAATCTAAATAAATGTTAAAGGTTCCCTAGCTAACCATGCATTTCGGGTGTGCGCCATGTGTTCGGTTTCAATCCAGATGCATAGAAGTGACGTTTCGTTATGATTTTCGAATGGCCCTTGAGAAGTTGCATTCAGCAGGTGCTGTTCCGAAATTTAATCTACAGGTGATATGTGTGGTGGCGGCGTCGTAAAGGCTGTCTCAGGGGGGGGGGGGGGAAGAAGGACACCCATCAGTATGACGAGCCTATTTGTTGTAGATGACATTCTGTATCGTGCGATCCACAGAATCTTTCCCCATCTTCACGTTCTGTTCATTCCATTGAGAACGGGGCTTCCATTATTCCTGTTGTTGTTATTGAAAACAGCAATCGCAGTGTTTTCTCTCACTTCGGCTTTACCAATTCAACTGAGATACCGATCATTTATCCCAGTCTTCCAAATTAGCGAATATTCGCAGATGTCCCCATTACTTGGACATTTCTTTCCTCCACTACTAAGGTGTAATTTCAAGTTACTTCATCCACATGTAATTTTTCGCATGGTCACGGGTTCGAATCCCGGATCGATATTCGCCCAGACCAACTAAGTATTCCATCCTTCCAGGGTCGGGTAATCTATATCAGACTCATATGGAAGGATAAAATCCCTGTTTTATATTAATACATCGGCTGGCCACGTATAGGCCATATATGCCACTGCGATACTCAATAAAAGTCGAATGCGTGGGCGCATTCCTCAGACGGGATTGATTAACAACCCAAGACCTTATCCTATGCACTTTCCACAGCTTTTTTGCCATTGCTAATAGCCGCATGATATGTTTCCTTACAAAGTCCCAAGGACCCAATTTTAAGAGAAAATCGTGATGGTTGTGAGCGAGATTCGGCTTGCCTAGACCTGTATTTGATATAATCTCAATTTCGCCTATCCGGGATAGCGAAACCCGAAAAGCAATATCCCGAGACTTTCAATGACTTATCGCTCATCTTTTGCAGATTACATCTCAACTGAAAATATTCACGGCTGCAATTTTCACGGTCATCATACTCAAGAGATCGCTGACGCGGACACAATGGTCAGTGGAGGGGTGATGGAGGAGAAATTTTTTTTCTCTTTTCTAGATATTACCAAAACAAATTCCAATGCTGCATTTTCGGCATCTAACTTTTGTTTTTAGGATAGCCTTGTTTGTTCTGTTTGTTGGAGTTTCTTTGGTGCAACTACAGTCAACAGGGAGTGATTCGACCAACCTGGATGGTCAACAGCCTTTAGTCGGTAAGAGATTAGAAGAAATCTTCAAACGAAATTGTGCTCATCGCAGGAAAGTTCAAGAGACGGGCGATTCGAAAGATAATAGTGAAAGAACTTTCTGCCGCAAAAGTCTGGTGTAAGCTGCTTCTCAAAATGGCAATGTCCTCATGTTTATACTTATGATTTTTAACTTCGTATCACCTCTTAATAATGTTCATAAAGATATTCTAAAAGAGTAATAAATGAAAAACACCACTTTCTTGTTGTGATCTATCGTTTCCGCTGTTCTGTATGGAAGCATTTGAATTTGAAGCTAGGCTATGCGATAACGACATAGATGATTAAGCCACCGCTTTTACGGTTGAAGTCAGTTTCTTAATTCTCCTCAGGTTCGGCAAATTGGTGGGTAAAAGGGAAAATATTTACTGATTCACAGATCGAAAAGTCATACAAATTTGTAGCGTCCGATTTGTATTAACATCAGAGGACTCTCTTAAGAGTGAGGTCTGAGAGTTATTTAGTAAAAATGTTTGTTCAATATCGAAACTGAAAGGGGTTATTATCATTTCAACGCTGTCTATCACTCAAAATTTGAGGCGTTTGAACATACCGCTTTACATTTACCGCATTTACACTGTACCGCAAGAATTTGTTGTGTGGATCAGTCTGTCTCACCGAAACATCAAGGATATAGTCGTTTCGAAGGAATCAAGAGTGGTTCGGGCTCTTACTTGGCAATTAATACACTTAAGTCCCAAACTGCTGAAGTAGCTACAGCTTACATCAAATCAAAAAAAAGACTTCAGTGGTAACATACTTTCTGAGGTTAAGTAGCGTCAGTGTTCCCACACTTTTTGACGGTACATTGTAGACAAACGATACCTTATTCGCACTTGTGTGAGGCTTACAATAGTTATGACCTCGCAGTCCACGAAAAGGATGAAAGAATTTGAATGAAAGGTTTTTTAACGTGTATGCCAGACGTCTTACCCTTCTTACCAATATTCATTCATTTTTGAATCTATTTCTCTCTTCTTCACATTCTCACAACTTATAACTTCACAATTATAATCCCTACCGATGAACCCTTCTTATTAGTATCCGGATGTAGTGAATAGTAACCATAAACAGTGATGATAGAATATTATACTACGTGCTCAGGCTTCAAGAAAGCTAAAAATTATTTCTTGCAGCACGGTGTCCTCACTACATTGCTGACAGAATATGTGTAGATGGCGAAATCAAAGGCTCTTTTTTTCATTACACAAGCAATCATGATAAATGAAAATATTCGAGAAATTCCAGTGAATCCATCTACATATTCTAATCCCGCCAATACACACACACACATACAGTAGAAATACCGTCTTTTATAGATTGGAGTCTATCGCTTTTGTAAGAATTTCAGGATTCGCTATGTGAATGCTTGTAGCAGTCTCCAATCTCACACTCAGTCTCAATATTGCATTTCCAAGTAGACTCTCCACAGATGAATGAGTTTTTAGGGTTTCTGGCAGTAGTGATCGCCTGCTGCCTTTCCGGTTTCGCTGGAATATACTTCGAAAAGATTCTAAAAGGTTCAGCCCCCGTGTCTCTATGGATGCGCAATGTACAGATGTGTGTCTTTGCTATCCCTGCTTCTTTTGCTGGTGTCATGTGGCAGGTACGTTGAATAATTTTTTGACTGCTGTCAGTCGGATTTTACAGATTTTTTTATTTACCGCTTGGGACTATCGCACGCTGGCGATTGCATGACAATCAGTGATCAATAGTTACAATGAAGATGCCTTCATAATATCTGAACCTCCGTATCCATTCTATCTGATATTCAATTAAAATATATTAATCGCAATGGCAAAGTCAACGTTCAGTTCGTCTACACCAAATGCTTTATCAAATTTCTAACAGTCGCTAGAATGCAGACTTATCGTAAAATTCCTACCCATTCTGGCGTTACTCCCGCTTGTATCGGAGCTACCTATTTCCTAAGGCTCCTGCTAAAGTTACCTCCACCACCTTCATTTAGGCTGCCAATTTGTCTCGAAATCTTATTGTGTTTTTTGGTGATTTGAACTTCACCGACTTTGCTGCACGTCCCGTCCGTTATAGGCCTTGACCCCTTTTCCTCCATAGCTTCTATGAACTGTTCATATGGTTACCGCCCATTTTGGCTCCACAGTTAAATTAGTCCTATTGTCTTATTTTTTCATATTCTCGCTTTTCTTTTTTGCTCATTTTGCCCGGTATCTGAGCTATTCTGAGATCGATGTGGATAGTTTTGCTCTCGGCACCGCCCTTCACGATGCATATTCCGGAGCGTGGCTCCACTGAGCTCACACATGCCCTACTCATCGCCCTGTGTCCCACCCATCCCAAACATGACCTTCCTATCCAGGCACTTCTTCAACTAATGCCGAATTTCTTTACAACAAGGAGACATTTATCAGGGTTTCAAGCTGTCGTCGGGAACCCAACTTCATCAAGGTTACCCCTCCCAGGCATGTGAACATGTGGAGTTCGCTTAGAAACTTCTCTATACTTTGTTCCAGGATTAGTTTTGTAAACATAATCAAGTAGATTTGAGATTCACTGAAAGTACCCTGGTGTACTGCCCTGGCCTCAGGCCCTTCCCTAGTGAGGAGATTCTTATCAGTCGATCTGAGCCACTCCTGAGCCCCTTCCCCTCCTATCGTTCTCTTTTGATTTTAAATTAAATATGAAAACTACGTTGATTAAAGCACAGTCATGATTAAGTGGAATAAGCCCTGTAAGGAGGGTGATTTCCAAAATTTACGTAAATTCCCCTCGCAGCGTAAGGCTCTCTAACCATAAGTGATTTTGACGCCATAAACCATGAATGCAGGGAATTGCAGAAAAAAATCGTATCCGCATACGAACTCCAAAGAATTTTGTCCTGTTTAGGATGGAAGAGTGGTTATGGAAAATGGCTTGCTGTACGGGTTTGACTGGGTTGTGTGGCTGACGGTATCATGGTACTGTATCGGAGGTTAGAAACTTTGATCTTCATTCATTTTCCTATTTTATTTTATTGTTTACCATTGTGCATGAAACGAATTGCTCAGCTAGTGTGGTTTTTTTTATCTTCAGTAGCTGCTCACTGAGACGCGGCAAAATAAAGAAAACTATTTTTTCTTTCACTCCTTCTATCACAGTTTGGCGGTTGAGTTCGTTCTTAATAAGCTCGAATCAAAAATGTCTGGAAACTTGGCTCAAGACAGTGATATACCATTTTTTCGAAGTTCTCGAAAATATCGGAAAATTATGATTTGTTCTTCGACTTCTCATCGATAATTGTTCAATCTAGGGCTTTCGGTGGCTGTCTGCATCAAATATGCCGACAACATTGCCAAGAATTTCGCCACTTCTGTCGCCATCATACTAGCTACGATCGGCTCGATGGTGTTCTTCAATTTCCAGCCTTCGGCCATGTTCACATTCGGAGCAGCACTGGTCATATTCAGCATATTCATGTATTCATCGTCACAATCTTTGTTGGCGGGTCTACGGCGAATAGCGAAAACAGATCTGTTTGTATAGGTTTCTTCGATTTCCTTCGCCTATTTCCACTTTTGGGCCTATTTACATGGGTCACCGACTTATCTCCCGGTGAGTGCATAAGGCTTCTCTTCCGCTGACCTCAACCTTACTTTAGAACTTTAGTTTACTTTAGAGCTTATGGATCATGTCATAATCTTAGAATAATACAACGTGAATCTCTCTTACATGCCCTCGAAAGCCAATCATTTGCCTTTTCTTAAGACAAACTTCAGAGGAATTTTCTATTTGAGCACATTTTCTCGTTGGAAGTTGTTAATGTCGTACTTTCCGTGAAAGTCCGAGTTCCTAAAACGACCACTTGATCTTTCTATAGTTGGGCCTAGGAAGTAGAGGCGGGAAACTTTCTTCTTTTCAATTGATAATTCATTCAAGTGCACTCGAGGATGATTCTTTTAGTAGAGCTCTTACAATTAGTTTCATGAATATAGCATTCCGTGCTGACTCATCAAATCGTAGCCTCCCCTTTGAGAGACCTTAGAATCGGCTATGTTCGAAGGTGGTGTAGTGGCGAGTGATGCACTTCACACACGTATGGTCATGGTTTGAATCGCGGAACCCGGCTCGTTTTTCCGCCTAGGCTAAGTCGCTCACGCCCTCCAGAGTCGGTCAATTGTTACCAGAATCGTCTGGGAGGAAAAGCACTGACTTGCACATCTGCTGACCACCACAACTCATTTTATAAGCCACATAAACATTCAATACACCATTACGATCCCGAATACGAGTGGAATGATCTCTCAGACGGATTGATTACCGCCCCAAGACTTTATCCTTATCCTTTATGCTGACAGCTGTGACCGGCTTGAAAAGTGATAGCATGCTAACTGTGATCCTGACCGTGTACGTGGCATTGGATGACATCGCCTTAGCGCTGAAGTTGTAGCGCAACCATAATTAAGATTTATAGAGTCAGGTCTCCTGAGAGGCCTATGTTCGGTTAGTAGTGCTAGTAGCCAATGATCGGTTATTGCTGCTGCGTCTTTCGGACCGTAGTGTAGCTTTAATCCACCTTGCCAATGATGGTCATATTGCTCAAGGAAACAGGCTGCTGTAATTTGGAAAACGCCGTGTATTGGGTGTCGCGTGAGTGGCTTCTGAATGCTTTACGTAAAAATATATATAAGTTCGGGGGTTTAGTGGTCAGATGGGTCAGCAGGGGAAATTTGTTTTCGGAAGCTATGTTCATAGGAACTGACGAATGTTGCCTGAGATTTCATTCTTTTTTACCGAGGGTTCGCACTTTCGCTTTCCTTTCCCTTGTCCTGTCCCTCCTGAGATCCTTTAAGCAGCATTTCATCAAAGTCGTTGTCACTTTTTTCGTTCAACGTTGTTGTTTGTTAACAAAAGGTTTACGGATCGAGTTCCATTTATGATTGCCACCATTTGTACATGTAAACTTTTTATAAAACATATTTGAATGCGTAGTTTGTCCAATTAGTATTAACTCTTTAGCGATATTTTCTTGCCTTTATAGGGAATGGTTTTTTAAATAGGATCGAGAATAGGTACGTAAGATGACCTTATACCAGTGTTTTTGTTTCGCTTTGTCTCCAAATACTGTCTGTGATACATTCTTGCTAAGCTGTGATCGAAATAGGGATTTTGCCTACACTAGAAAAAGTGCATATATATTGCCAGCCGGTATCATATCGTAAATTATGCGTCGATTTTATTTTTTCGAGTTGTTTGTTTAATGTTTTCATATTCAGAACAGGAATAAAGTTTTGTAAATAAGCTTATAACAGCCTCATTGGTGTTGTATGTACATATGGTAAAGAGATATTCCAGCAATTTTTTTTGTTTCCGTCGTTAGTCTGTTCTACGATTTTGTGCCTAATTATTTATCGATTATGCGATTCTCAACTAGTTCTTCATTCACGGATCCTAGTTGTTTCCTAGTGTATGAAAACATAGCTGTGAATCACCGACGTAAGGTGTACAAATGCTTGCAGTGATCGTAATACAAATAATAAGAGGACTACAGTAATAGTCCCAAAGACTGTGTGACAGGCCCTTCAGCCAACGACCTTTGTGCTACTGTATGGTTTGAATAGAAATGGAAACCTCCTTTTTCTATTTGATTCGTTTTTACGGACATATCGTTTCTTTGGATGCCGGATTTTTCGTCTAAACAGATGATTTGCAGAACCAGTCTTTCGTTAGTTGACCTTCGAATTGGTAATGGTAACAAATCAGCTATTTCACCTGGGATTTTATTACGATCACTGCAGCTTAATTACCACATTCTTAATCGGCGCTCGGGTTCTTTTTACTTCATCCGATCTCAAAGACGAAACCTATATGAACGGTACACCTTTCGGGGAAGGTCGCTGTCATCGTTAAATATGCACAGAATGCTAGAATATTCATCGAGTCTGTAGTTTTCTGCAGAGCTACTTCAGGATCAAATAAGAACGCTCGCACCTTGTCTTCTTAGTAGCTTATGTAAAGGAATAGATAGTGGAGTTTGTTCAACTGAAGTTGAACCACATCTCCTCAATCGCGAACGCCGATTAGCTTGAGCTCGAGGTTGAGCTTTGGTGCGAATCTGGCCATGGCCAAGTGATGAGGATACCCACATCCTTGACGCTTCTGTTGTCACATTTTCCAAGAAACACTTTTCCGATCTCAAAAGCAGGGCGAAGTTTTTTCGCCTCGGACAGCCCGATGACGTCGTATTCCATATTCCTGGTTTGCTTCATCAGATATTCAACATACGCTTCCCATAATAGCGATATGCGTTTTGAATACGGAACGCCATATTAGTTAATTCCGGGTGCGCTTCGTTGCGCGCGTCCGTGGAAACTAGGTCACGTCGCAGTCGTCACATGCGGCAGGTCAGCCCGCGATACTTGACGGACGTCGCAGTTGTCAGTGGGGCATTTGGTTCGTGCTTGGTCCACGGCAGTCAGCTCAAAAAAAATAAGGCACGGACAAATGCAAATCATTCGCTCCACTAGCACTTGGCGGCACTGTAATGTGATTTCGAGACCCCAGGGCCAAGTGAGCTGGGTGACCTACTTTCGATGGACGCGCGCAACGAACGTTCTCGTCAGTCCTAGATCGATCTATATCGAGCGGTCCTAACCAATACTGCCTATTGGGACTCTCTCACGTACAGGGGAGTGAATTCCACCCGTATAATACCAAGGAATACTTTGGCAGGTCATGACGTCGGAGGTAGGTGATTAGACTTTAGGCTGCGGTCTGACTATCATAGAAGAGACAAGAGCTCATTCATTAGGAGCGACTCCGCCTCTCAATTAAGTGCCATTCACTCGGATGCAGGCTTTCGATCGACAAGCAAGATATCAACCGCACCCACAAACCTACGTAAGCATGCATAGATTCCCATTGCGCCTACGTGGGGGCAAAAGGTATAGGTCGATTCAACACAGTAGGAACAGAAAGTTCATTCTCTTAACCTACTCGCGTCTTTGGGTGATACCAGTGGCTTTTGGTCCGATGTACTCGTTATCCGCAATTTGAGGTTACACCGTAGCCTTGCCGCGTGACCCGACGCCATCCAGAGATCTTTCAGAGGAGGAGAGACTTCTCGAGAAAAGAAGTCCCTTGTTTATGAGAACCCTGACTCTTGCCCCTGCATTTCTTATGGGCCCCTATTTCTGAGCTATTTGTCAACCTCAGAAGTTGTCGACTATGGGAGCTGTGGGAGCTCGACGGCAACTGGCTTCGTCCCGATCGGGGAGTGTCCGTTGCGCGCGTCCGTCGAAAGTAGGTCACCCCTCCCACTTCGCGCGCGGCGCACCCCACCAGGCTCTTGAGATATAGTATCCCCAAAGGTCAGTGGAGCGAATGATTTGCACTAGTCCGTGTTATCTTCACTGTAAGCTGACTGCCAAGGACCGAGCGCAATACGTATGCCCCGCTGACAAGTGCGACTTCCGTCAAGTAAAGCGGGCTGACCCGTCGCATGCGACGACTGCGGCGTGACCTAGTTTCGACAGACGCGCGCAACAAAGCGCACCGGTCTGGTCATTTCCTATCCCTGTTCTGCCGGGGACATTCCCGTGTGGCGATGAGTTAAATATCCAGGACATGTAAACACCGGGCGCGGGCGTATTGTCGTGATTTGATTTATTACACGACTGATTCGTGTGAAGTTGAACAACGGGAACAAGTAAAAGCAAACCAAAACCAAAAAACGGGTGTGGTGCGTTGGGAACGAAATGGCCGCGTCGCGGTGAGAGGGGCGTCGCGCACGAAGGAATCTAGCAGGATGCAGCAGTAGGTAAGAAATACAAGAACAAAAGTACTAATAGTAGAAATATGCATAAAACAATGATCGCATATCAATTGAGCTGTATGAAGAACGCTAGTGCTGTAAAAACGGCGAAAGAGTGGTCTGCGACAGCCGCGTGCGGCGAATCGACTACCCAAAATCGTTCCTAACGCCCGTCTGCCCAAAAATCGACCGAAGAATCAACTTAGGGCGTAATTACTACACCAAAAAAGAAGAGGTAGAAAAAACTGTAATATGACGAAGAAGTGAAGTACAAGAGTAAACAAGATGCGAAAAAAAGAAAACAATATTGGAGGCAAAGGAACAATTATTGCTGGCGTTAGGTCATGAGCCTTTCAGAGTGTGCAAGCGATTTAGGCGCTGGGCCTCGCTTGATAATTTTGTTGAACTTGATACCAGACGTGGCAGAAGAACTGGCTTCTATACGTAGAATTAGGTCTAGGTTTAAAAACCTTGGTATTGTACCCACGAGTATGTGAGTCACCAATAGCGACGAGCCTAAGCCTATCTACAGGGGTCCGGAATCTTCTCCCGAAAGCGGCGTCGCGCACGCCGCACCCGCCGCCTATCGCAGGATTGCGATGGAAGATTGGAGCGCGCAATTTGTGAGGTGGGGATCCCTTTAATTATTTGAATTGGCTGGCCGCTCCCTACAATTCCAATGCGGTCTTGATCGTCGCTAATATAGGAGGGGTCGTTCTAAGTAATCGGATCT